CCACTCTCCACCGTGGTCAAAGCGGTGAGCTCACAGAGGTAAGGGAGGGAGAAACACGCATGGTAGCCAAATAAATGTAGCGTAATTAAACTGTGTATATGTTATTGTTACTTTTCTGTCTTCAATGCTCTGCTGTCTCTCGCGCAGCGACGTGGGTATGTGTCGGATTTGTCACGAGGGAGCTGGAGGAGAGACGCTGCTCTCGCCCTGTGACTGTACTGGTACTCTGGGTAAAGTGCATAAAAGCTGCTTGGAGAAGTGGCTGTCATCCTCCAACACCAGCTACTGTGAACTTTGTCACACTGAGTTCACTATTGAACGGCGACCACAGCCACTCACTCAGGTTAGAAAAGTTTTACTGTGTGAATTCATTTCTCTACTTTATGGTTTTTTTATAAAAAGCGGTTATTGTGTGGGTTTATTCTGGGCGCTCCGGTTGCCTCCCACTGTCCACAAACGCTTGTTAGGTTAATTGGTGATTCTGAATTGACTGTATGGCTCAGTGCGAGCATGAATGGCTGTTTGTTTCTTTGTATGAGACCTGTGATTGACTGGGTGTATCCCACCTCTTCCCTAATGTCAGGTGGGATAGGCTCCAACCTCGGTTCAGTAAGAGGCTAACGAGATGGACGGCCATGAGCTTTGTCTAAAGCAAGGAGATTATTTCTTCTTTTGCCTTGTACTGATATTTTCAGCTTTGTAAGCATTTGGAAGATTTCATTTATGCCATTAAGTATCTGTGCCAGCAAGTAACATGTTTAGCAAGTGGGATCATTTGCGTGTACTGAGGATTGTTTTGCTTGACCTTGTGTGAATAGTGTTCGGTTAGAATACTCTTTTTATGGCTTTATTAATTACTTCATGCAGGCAGCTCACTCCTCTTTAAAGTTCATTCTTGTTTTTATAATCTAAGACACATCAGTTAATCATTTAATGTGCTCGATTCAGGCGCATCATTGACCTCCCCATTTTGGTCTTTTGCAGTGGCTGAAGGACCCGGGCCCTCGCAGTGAGAAGCGCACTCTGCTCTGTGACATGGCCTGTTTCCTTCTTATCACACCCCTGGCAGCTATCTCCGGCTGGCTGTGTCTGAGGGGCGCACAGGACCACCTGCAGCTGAAGAGCAGACTCGAAGCTGTTGGCCTTATTGCCCTCACCATCGCCCTCTTCACTATCTACATCCTTTGGACACTGGTAACCAATTGCAGAATGTTTTTTTTTTGGGGGGGGGGGTTCCCCTCTTTGGCTTTTGTAGATCCATAAGTAGATCCAAGTGTTTATAAGGTAGTTTAGAAATCAAAGCCCCTTTTTTAATAGTTTCGATATTTAAAGCTTTGATTTTCAGTTATGATACCAAGACAAGCACACGTCCAGGTAATTGTTCTTACCTTGATTATTGTAGACATTACAGTATCGTTTCTGGGTACAGCTTCAGTCAGTTGTGGAGACATGTGAAGGCATGTGGAGTATATTGTGGCCTGGAGCAGTTTATTTGAGTGTTGGAACAGAAACAGAACGCCTGCACATACATGCATAGCTGACTGCGAATACTGACAATAAGTTGGCTTTATTCTACACCTTTCGTTAGCTGGAGTTTTTAACAGGGTCTAGAACTGGGCTTTGGTAAACTAAATGGCTTTTTTTTTTTTTTTATTGAAGTGTTTTCCTTTTATCGTTATTAAAAATGTAAACTGACTGTGAAAGCTCGGCCTTTCTACTCAGGTTTCAGTTCCCTGTCGTGCAGTAGTTGCTGTGCTGCATCTGTACTACTCTCTCAGATATCTTTGTGCTAATTTTATTGATATCTGTCTTTCTGTCCTTTGTTACCTCTTGTCTCGCCCCCTCCCTTTTTCTTTTCATTCACTCTCAGGTGTCATTTCGGTATCACTGTCAGTTGTACTCGGAGTGGAGGAGGACCAATCAGAAAGTGCGCCTGCTAATGCCCGACATGAAAGGGGCACACACTACCCAACGCTCGGTGCCAACCAAGTCGACCAAGAAAATGACTGACGAGACCATCGTATGAGTGCTGAGCAGGGGCAAGTGGAATATTTAAAATAGAGCCCGCTGAAGCACTCTCTAAAAACAAAATTAATCATATTAATGAACTTTTGCACTTCATATGGACCATTCTGAGGGAAGAACTGCTTTTTTTTCCTCCCCCTTCTGTTTTCTTTATTAAAGCACTTGATGTAAACTACTATGGTATTGGCTAGCCACAAAAGTGGTTTTGAACTTTTTGAACTCATTCAGGAGTCGTTGTTGATGAAAACGAACAGTGCCAGGATGCGAATGCCTGGACACATGGAAAATGGACTAATCAGCCGGACTTTAAGTCATTGTCACAAACTTATGAAATACTAAGACACAAGCTAATGTAGCAGAATATAACTGATTCAGCATGCTACTACAGTATAATATGAAACATATTCACTACCTATAATTCCCCCAAGCCCCTTCACCACGTATTTAGCTGTTTTGGAACAATGGGCAAGCAATAGCCCGGCGGAGGATAATAATCTAAAAAAAAACAAAAAACATTTTTTGACAAACTCTGTGAATAATCTTTTCTTTTGTTCTGCTTTTAACAAGTAGGGAGCAACATTTGTTCATACCACTGTCCTTGTCTATAATCTGAACCCTTCTTCATTTTTCCAGGAAAATCTTTTTTCTTTGTTCTTTTTTTCCATTGCTGTCTGAAGAGTGGAAACCAAATCACCTTCCTGTTGATGCAGGTCTCGTGTATTAATCACACTTGTCACGGGGGCCAGTGAGCATTGTAGTATATGGGATAACACTAACTCCAGCTGGTGGATGGCAGTGCAGTAACGTACAGGACACGAGTGTTGAAGGTGTGGAATCATGTTTACATTTTAATCGGATTATGTTTCTTCTACTGTCATAAAAGTGCATTAGCAAACAGCCCTGCTCCACTTGTAAATGCACCATTCATCAATTGAGCTGCCTAGCAACGACCAGTAGTAATGTCTTACATCACAAGTGATGCAATTTTAAAAAGAGCAGAATACAGCTTTGGGAAACGTGACATTAATGGATTAAAAACACAGGTGTACCAGAGCAGACTGGTGCTTCGTAAAGGTCCACAAAGGCAAGCGTGTTCTGAGATGTCAGTCGATATATGCAGCATTTGTTAGACAAAGTATTTTGTGTTATTGTAGTCTTCCTGCTGCAGTCCCCTGGAAAATTGGGTTATTGTGCAATAAAACATGAGGGACTCCTGGACTCGGATGTGGGTGATCTTTGTGCTCTCTTTTCTTTTTCTTATTCCACAGAGAAGATGACTGAATAAACTGTGAGTTATACCACAATCTAAAAATGAACCGATCTCCTGTTTAATATGTTTGTGTTGGGAAATTGTGCATGTGCATTTTGTACAGTGAATGTAACCAATGATCGAAAGTACATTTACTGAAGTACTGTCTGAAGCATATATACTTCCTTTTTAGGCTATATTGTACTTCGCTATATTTCAGAAAGGAAGTTCACTGAACCTGTTTTTCATGCCATAGTTAGGGTTTGACCTTAAACACATGGTTTTAAATATATTTATTTGCCAAGTAATACAGTCGTGGTTCCCAACCTGTCTTTAGACACCCCCTCACCACCACCAAATAAAGAAGTGTTTAGCTGTTTTTCAGACTGAAAATGAGTTAGTGGTTACCTTAAATAGCGATTTCCTCTTTTAGCTACTCAGATGACACAATTTAAATAACTCTTTCAGACCTGTGTACACCCAGTGTACACTTATTTTTACTTCAATTCAATTTTATTTACGCATATAGTAAAAAGCCTTTTCTATTGTACAGCCAAGACCTTACAATAATACCCGACGTTCTTGGATCACTTTTATTTCCCGTTGCCTTTAGAACTGTGTTAATTCCGTGTTAACTCTTCATGGCATAAAGTCAACATGTAGGGTTATTTTGTTAATCATTTGGTACCAAGGCCCCAAGTGTCCCAAGAAAATATCCCCACAACATTACACCTACAACACCAGCCTGAACTGTTGATCTGAGGAATGATGGATCCATTCTTTCATGTTGTTTTCCCTGGCATCCGTATGTCACAGCACAAATTGAAAGTCAAGAGTTTTCCTGCTGTTTTTTTTTCTGCTGTTGTCCAATTTTGGTGAGCCCGTCCTAATTTTAATCTAAATTTCCTGTTTTTATCTGACAGCAATGGCACCTGGTGGGCTCATCTGCCACTACTAGGTTGGACATGCTGCGTGTTTAGAAATGCTTTTCTGCATACTTTGTAAGATGTGTTTATTTGAGTTACTGTTGTCTTCTGGCTGTTTTCCTCTGACCTCAACAAGACATTTTCTTCCAGAGAACTGCCACTTTTTGGATATCTATCTAGAGATAAATAGTCGCGTGGGAGAATTGCAGTAGATCAGCAGATTCTGAAATACTCAGACTGGCCTGTTTGGCACCAAAAACTACCTTTCTTCGCTAATTCTGATGCTTAGGTTGGATTTCAGCAGGTCATCCTGACAATTCTCTAAATCACAGGTAGGCAACTCCAGGCCTCGAGTGCTGGTGTCCTGCAGGTTTTAGATGTGTCCTTGAGCCAACACAGCTGATTCAAATGGCTAAATGACCTCCTCAACATGTCTTGAGGTTCTCCAGAGGCCTGGGACTGTACTAATCATTTGAGTCAGGTGTGTTGACACAGGGTGATATCTAAAACCTGCAGGACACTTGAGGCCTGGATTTGCCTACCTCTGCTCTAAAAGCTGCCATGAACTGCACTGTGATTGGATAATTGTGTTTAACGAGCAGTTGAACAGGTATACGTAATAAATGGCCAATGAATGTACAAAAAGTAGCTTCAATTTTACCCGAAGCAGAAGTTAAACCCTGCTAACAAAGGCTACTGATGCATCAGCAGTCAGTAATGTGAAGTGAGATAGTGGTCTAGACATTCAGCATGTCACTTTGTGTATATTGCTAGAAAAAGAATACAGAGGAGGCGGTAAATAATATTGTAAAATTTAATTTCATGGCATTAATATAATGTGTGTGAGCAGACAAGCTATCAAAATCAAAACAGAAAAAGAATATATTTTACACAAATGAAATAAGCGCCAGCAGCGTCACAACCACTTTTGAGATGACTGAAGGAGGAGGAGAGAAGCCCAAAAACAGGACTGCTGATACAGATCAAACAGGATTGGAAACCCAGACCTCCAAGTGTGTTGCATTAACTGTCAAACAGGCAGATGACTAGGCTTATAAGGTGTCAGGAAAGGCTATTCTGCTACGCCGTCGGGGTTAACTGTGGCAGCTGCTTAGGTGGTACCTTCAGTCCTGTTTTTGCACTTGAATGTAGCAGACTGTTCCTGGGTCAGATTACAACTTGAAATCAATTCAAACACTTCTCTCTGAGATTGATCGTTAGTGGCATAAAGGAACTGCTTCCACTGATTTCTAAAAAGTGCAGATTCAGACAACGTTGCATCCCGAGCAGATGGAAGCATGTCAACACTGTCGATTTCAATTAATAACTGACCCAGGTAAGGAGGGGACCGTTGCAATGGGTTACAGGTTCTGACAGCACTGCAGTTTGCTTCCTCTCTGGCCATCTGTGGTCGGCGGCACGCTGATGTCCACCACGTTGTTTCCCGGGGACTCGTCATGGGCAGACCGCTCGGCAATCTGCTTCTGCGATACGATGCGGTAAATTTCTGTTTTTCGAAAAGATGAAATGGAAAACATCAGCTTTCTCTCTCAGTCTAAAAGCTTGCATAATTTACCTTTAGAACCACTAATGTGGGATGTGAGGAGGTAGTTTTACAGCTCCTCACTCGGTACCCAACTAATACAGTTTATTATAAAAATAAAAAAAAACTTTATAAAGAATAAAAAAGTTAAGCTACCAAAACGAACTATCCTCTCTGAATCTACTGCATATCAACCAAAGGTTTCATGCCTCATTGTGTGTGTGATTTGATCTTTTTTTAATATTCTAGTGACGTGTGGAGCTCTGGCATTCAACCTCCATTCACAAGCACACCTACCTGTAAGGATATTTTTGAAGGCTTCTTCAACATTTGTTGAGTCCAAGGCTGAAGTTTCTATGAAAGACAGATTGTTCTTTTCTGGGGAATGGGAAAGAAAACAGATTTAGTAAGAGTGAAACATCACTGTACCAATAACCTTTCTGCAGCAGTACCTGCAAAGGCGCGGGCTTCGTCTGTGGGCACGGCTCTGAGGTGGCGCAGATCACTCTTGTTGCCAACCAGCATGATGACGATGTTGTTGTCGGCGTGGTCTCGCAGCTCCTTCAGCCAGCGTTCCACATTTTCATATGTCAGGTGTTTGGCTATGTCATACACTAGCAGCGCTCCCACCGCTCCTCTGTAGTAGCTGTAACAGTACCCAACATGGATGTTAAGAGTGAATTCCCTTCGTTGATTGCAATGCAGAGGCGATGTGCAGATGCATGTGCACAACGCTACATCGGACTCACGCTGAGGTGATGGCCCTGTAGCGCTCCTGTCCTGCTGTATCCCAGATCTGAGCCTTTATCGTCTTGCCGTCCACCTGGATGCTGCGCGTGGCGAACTCCACCCCAATGGTGCTCTTGCTCTCGAGGTTGAACTCATTTCGTGTGAATCGAGAGAGCAGGTTGCTCTTCCCCACACCCGAGTCTCCAATTAACACAACTGTGAAGAGAAAAAAGAGAAGATGATTGTATTAGTGTGGGATGGGAGAGGCAGCGGATAGGCCCTGTGTTCTCAAATCCAGGAAATGCTACAAAGCAATGGGCAGCACAGCGATGTGGTGGTTAGCACTTTTGCCTCAAAACAAGGTCCTGGGTTCAAATCCAAGTTTAATGTTGTCCTTTGTCTGAGTTCTCTCTGGGTACTCTGGCTTCCTCTCATAGTCCAAAGAGGTTAATTCTGATTCTGTAGGTATGAGTGTGAATAGCTGTCTGTCTCTGTGTGTTAGGCCCTGTGACAGATTGGCAACCTCTCCAGGGTGAACCCTCCCTCTCACACTATGATAGCTGGGATAGGCTCCAGCTCCACCGTGACCCTGAAGTGGATAAGTGGAAGAAGATGGATGGATATAAGGCAATGACTCTAAATCATGGGGCTTTCTATTTTTGTAGGGCCAAAAATCCTTTCTGAATAATGAAAGAAATGACAGAATAAAACGCTAAAGTCAAGATGCTTAGTGTGTTATAACTCAATAGTGTTTAAAAATGTGTCGGTTTCATTTATCTTCATCACACATTTAAACACGAAAATAGCATTTTTGGGCCTTCATATACCTGATGAAGGTCAGATGGAAACATAAATGTACCAGGGTGCAGTGTGCAGCAGTTCTATGTAACTCTTTTTTAGAGCCTCTGTAATATGATTGGGTTCTCTGCCACATGTAGCAACAAAACAACTGCAAAGCTTGTGTACAAAAAAAAATCATCCACACAAAAGAATGCAGGTCTTGTACTTCCTGAGGGGAGGTCCACTGTAAACAATGATGTTGTGATGTGTGAACATTCTATATAAAACCACCCGGAAACGAAACAATACTATCAGCCTTTTTTTTTTACACTGATGAAAATACTAAACATGTGATAAACAAAATAAACTGCTCATTATCACACCTTTGAAATGATTGTGGCATTTCACCAATCCAGAGGTTAGTCGGGGTAAAACACAGTCAGGGCTGTGATATGAAACAAACCGCTGAGAGCACTGAGGTAACCAGGCTTTACTCGGTTTATTCCCCTGTCCTTCGACAAACGGAAAAAAGAGCCGAACTTTGTCCCTGACGACATCACGCTGCTCCGGGCTGCAGGAAGCTGATAACAGGCTTCATCAAAACCTGAATCGACAGTTTAAGGCCGCCTTGCCCTTCCTGTTTCGGCCGTGTACACAGAAGATGGTTGGAGCATAGAGAGAGAGAGGGAGAGAGAGAGAGCCCTCGCCTCCGGCAGATGCCCTATTCATCCCACAGAGGATACTTTGTTACATCTAAATGGCCTTTTGGCTTATACAGGCCTGGGATGTTAATGTGCCACAGGAGCTGATATCACGATCAAAGGAAGGCATTCTGGATCCATTTGAGAAGATAAACACTGACCCGAGTCTGGAGTCTGGTACCGCTTCAGACAATCCACCAGGCCCACTGCCTGACATGACAACAAAAGACATTAAGCTGCTGCATTTACAGTGTCAATAAGACTGTCTGAGGACCATCCTGATCTGGCGATGAAGCGTATTGATCAGTAAGAGGTAGAGGCTAATAGACCTTCAATCAGCCTCATGAACAGGATTGAGAAAACAATTAAATATGATCCAATAAAGGTGGAAATTCTCCAACGTGCAATCATGCTATGCTCGGTTATTTATATATTTTTAAAAAGCTGAGCACGCGCAGGGTGTTGCGTCCTTTACCTATAAATATAACTGCGGGCGCCGTAATGTCACAATGACAGCATTATATTGTAATAACACGAACCGACTATCATCCGGGCAGTTTTCCAGAAAAAACTCCGTTTCCTTTTTAAAAAATGCACACAGCTGCTCACAGCACAGACACAGTAAGACATAAAGCATTCATAAAGCTCTGCTTAGTCGATGCGAGCCTGTGTAAAGGGGAATGCAGTCATCTTTTTTTCTTTCTTTTCTTTTTCTTTTCTTTCTTTTCTTTCTTTTTCTTTTTTACCTTTGAACAAGAAATCGTATTCATCGTCTCGGTTCCCCATTCTAGACGAGGCCGCTGCAGCGCTTGTCTCCGGAAGAGGATGTGTGGAAAGTATGGGTATGAATTTTCGCTATATGCCAGAAAAATATGGTAAAGGTTTGTACTCAGACTCTGCGCCAGTGTTGGCTGTCAAGGCGAGCTGACCGCAGAAGGGGAGAGCTCCCAACTCTGCAGAGGGAGGGGAGGAGTCCCTGCAGTTCGCATAGTTTCCTCCGGGGGGCGAGCTTTACTGGTATGCCAGCAGATATCTACCATTCATCTGGTCCCCACATTCAGAGGAGTGCTTAATTCTGAATGAATAACAAGGTCAAGGCACGTTAAATTATCTTTAGACATTATGCTAACATTATGTGGCGCGTGTGAGAGTGTGTGTGCAAAACAGGGGTACTATTCACAGCACACAATAATATAATTAAGGCCAACAATACATTACTGGCTACTGAAACATTTTAGGAGATTCGAAAGCTAAATTTTAGAAAACGTTATGCTGCATAGAGAGAGAAAAAAGTGAGAAAATGGGGACTGTGCATTTACATAAAATTACCTAAAAGTCAATGTAGATAAAAATAGATATTGTAGATAATATGATATCTCATTTGCATAAAAGAGAAATGTGATAAGATGTGTATTTTTTTAATAAAATGTTTATTTTATGTAATTGTTTATTATTGTTGTGTTCTGTGTCTTTAGATATTTTTGTAGACATCTGCACATACTCTTCAGTGGTGATTACACGTCGCATACATTGGTGTGCTTTCGCATTAAACCCATTTAGACCCTATGAGTCCGTGGCAAATATTTTTAGTTTTAACTACCAGTAAAATGTGTCTTTAAAAACACAAATTATTAGATTTTCCTCTAAAAACATAATTAATAGTTGGGGGGGGGGGGTATTTTTTTGAGTGGCTTTCCCTTTAATGTCCTTCTGACACTTGGCCCCGCCCCGCCCACCAACTCTGCTCCAATTGGTCGAGCACAGCGTCAGCTGCCGCAGCAGGAACGCACGTGCTTCTCCGCGCATTTCAAGATCAAGATGGCAGCCTCCGTATGTCGGTGCTACGAGGTTAGTGAGATTCATGTCCTTCGTTGCAGTCTCCGAGCCTCGGGCCCGCTCTCTGGTTAAGGGAATAAAGTCGCAAGGCTTCGCCATCAGTCTCTTTATGCCCGTGACGCGTACGCGCTTTAGAGTGTGTGCACTCTGGTGTGTTTTACGCAACTTGAACGCGAGATGTCCGTTAGAAAGGGCCTTGTTTCATCAGAGGCACGGCAGAGGTTTACTAATGTTATTTAATTCCTGGGGTCTTAAAATCATAGCATTGTATTGACTCGGGTTTTGACTCTGTGTGTCTGTGCTTGAGTGGCACATTTCATTTAAAATGCGACTTTTAGAAGCCTGCATGCAGTCAGGTACTAGAGCAAATATGATCAGTGACCTCGCTGCTATAAAACCACGAAAGCTGTTACAGTTTTAATTAGAGCAGCGGTGACCACTTGTTTTAGCTTCTGTCTCCTGACAAATAACCGAACCATCCTTTCAATATAAATAACTTGATCACGCTTCATTTTACACAGACAGCGAATATGGTGCGTTCGTCGTTTTTAGAAAGGGTCGAAAATTGTAATACCATTGTTATAAGCAGAGGATAAAACGCACCAAAACAGATCATTGCTGCCACAGCATGTTTCACCTAATTTCTCATGTTTAAATGTACAACCATCAAAATAAGTTATCAAATAAAGGACAGATATTAGCAATTAGAGGGGAAATCTATTAAGACTGGTTCATGAATTTTGAATTTGTCCTGTGATTTTGTCCTGGTCAGGATGAAAATATCCCACTTAGGGCAGAAGACATTTATTTATTTATTGACAGGATGATGATGTGCTGCATTAGTCACAGTCACCAGGTTTTAAGCACACTCATGGAACATGTTAGAGCTTCACCAAATGAAGGGATATATTTTAAAAGGATGGTATTACGTGCTGGTTTACCTCCCAGCTAACTATGACTGACTGATTCTGTGTGTCTGTTGCAGCTGATTGGCAGAAATGCCTTGGCTCTCAGCTCCCGGACTCTGGTCTCCTCAGTGTGGAGGGGAGATCATTACAGGTTGCAGAGGAGCCCAAGTGCAGCTGTGCAGGTACCCAACAACACCTCCCATTCACCCTCAAGATACTCATTTATTAAATCACTGCTAATGTAGAGTTGTGCCCGTTAATTTAAACAGTTCTTTTAACTTAAAGTTCTGGGATTACTTATCTTTATGCCCTTTTTTAGTTTAAGGTTTTATGAAAAGCAATGCATAGGTTCTGTTTTCTTCTTCTTCTTCTCTTTTTTTCATTGTTCCAGTCGCAGCATGTGCTTAATCTGTTCACTCTATTGGTGCATGTGTTTGTCCAGCTAAAGTCCTTCTCTGTGTTTGTTATCAGGTGCGATATGCCTCAGGACGGAAAGGTTTTCTGGGAGAGTTTGTTGATAACCTTCGTCAGGAGTTCAGTAAGAATCAGGAGATGAAGGAAAACATAAAGAAGTTCAGAGAAGAGGCCAAAAGGCTCGAGGAGTCCGACGCCCTTCAGCAGGCCCGCAGAAAATATGTAAGAACATTAGCTGGTTTGATTTATATTATATATATATAAAGATAAACATCAAGCTTATTATATTTAATTAGTTTTCTAGAATTTTAATGTTGTTTTTAAAAAATTTCTGATCAGAAATCGATAGAGGCAGAGACAGTGAAGACATCAGAGGTGTTTAAGAAGACCTTGGGCTCTCTATCAGAGACCGTTAAGGAGGTAAGGCCAACCTGATTGACAGCCCCAACATGAAAATATAATAATTTAATTTGGAATCGCACACTAAGAGTTCACATTAAGTTGTAATGTTGTTAAAAATGCTTTCCAATTAAAAAAAAAAACATTACGTGGACATCATTAATAAAATGAAACCTGCTGTGTGCTTGCGTTCCATTTGGATCAAAGAGTCTCGAGGAAGTGAGTCGTAGTGACATCGGGAAGAAGATCAAGGAAGGTGTGGAGGAGGCCACCAAGACAGCCAGAGGCTCTGCTGAGTCTTTATCCAAGGGAGGAGAAAAACTGGGCCGGACCAACGCGTTCAAGGCCATCTCACAGGTCAGAAAACGAAGCGAGACGTCTATAGATGTCCAAATTAATGCCTCTCATCTTCATCTTTTGTACGTTGTCGTTGGTATCCAGGTGTCTGCCAGACTTTATAGATGTTTTGACTACAGCAGGGGAGAAAATGGACGATTTTGGAAATTAGCATTTAGCCGTTAACACATCTTTCTTCACAGGAACATAAGGGCAGATTTCAGACACCAGTCAGTTGTTGGTTAATTCAGGTCATATTTGGCAAATAGTTGTTACGTTCTGGGCTTTTTGTTACTGCTTTCTTTAGAAACTGTTTCTTTAGAAGCAGCTTAAACTTTTAAAATTTACTTTTGGATGTCATTAAGATTTTGGTTTAGACTCTGATTATGTTTATAATTAAAAAGTGCGAACTCTCTGCAGGGTGTAGAATCCATGAAGAAGGAGATAGATGTCGGTGACGCCGGCCCTTACAGGGCTCCTTCTCAGCTGAGGAAGAGGAGCGATTTCTCATCTAAAAGTGCAGATGACGACACCAGAGTGTTCGAGGCCAACGAGTGAGTAAATGTTAGATCTCAAAACCAGTCCAATGACACAAGCTGTTGTACACCCACCTCTCTGATGCGGCGAATTATCTCCATTTTTAAATCTCAGAGAGGCCATGGGTGTCGTTCTTCACAAGGATTCAAAGTGGTCCCAGCAGTGGAAGGACTTCAAGGACAACAACGTAGTTTTTAACAGTAAGAAATATGTAATTTCTCTTTATGGCAGCAGGGGGCAGTAGAATGTTTACTGTAGATTCAATGATCAGCTAATAATGAAGTGCAGTCATGAGCTGTTTGCACAGGTGCAGAATGTACCTGCCGTAATCAGTGGAGACATGTCTAACCTGTTCAACCTCCATTTTTGTTTCATTCAGGAATCTTCGAGATGAAGATGAAATATGATGAAAGTGACAATGCCCTCATCAGAGCATCCAGAGCTCTAACTGACAGAGTCACTGACTTCCTAGGTAATGCTCCACCACATTCAATCCTGAATTTGGAGTTCCTTTTCTCTGTAAAAGCCTTTTATCTGATTGTTCTCGCCAGACCTCAAATCTTGTTCTTCTTATTTAAAAAAAACAAAACATTTTTTATCCCAAAACCTATTAATCTTCTGATTAGTCAGGAATACTATTAACTACGTGCTCCATGGTACTGACAGATCTTCTAGATATTTGATGATGTTCACCAGCTTCGACGTTACACATTTAATTTGTGGTACTGAGTGTTGTTGCTGCTTCTGATTTTAGCCTTTGTTTCCTAGGTGGTCTCTTCTCTAAGACGGAAATGTCCGAGGTGCTGACAGAGATCCTGAAGGCAGACCCCAGCTTTGACAAAGATTCTTTCCTCAAACAGTGTGAGAAAGACATCATCCCCAACATACTGGAGGTAAACGGGTTCCTCCAGCCTCTGTCTGTGGCTGTCTTCACTCTCGCTGTTTCCGTTAATGCTTTTCTCTGTGGAGGTTAGGAAGAGACTTGATGAAAGTCTCGGTTCATTTAGCCTGAGTTTTCACTCTAGTTTGGATCAGATCCATTAATGAATTTCCTGTCCTCTGTTTGAGTTCAGCTGTTAGATTACTGAGTTTAAACCAAGTTCAGCAGCTAAATACATCATTCAGATAACTGAGGGGATCCAAGAGCTTATGATACAGTTCTGTAAGTCGTGCATGCTTGTTATGTAAAAAAGATAAAATGAAATAAAATGCTGTTTATGATTATATCAGGAGGAGAGCACTGAGTGTAGTTGAAGTCTTGGTTTAGAGTAGCAGAAAATGATCTCAACATGTTCTGATTTTGAATGAATTCACTAAAGTTTACTGGGCTCGGTTAAATATGAGATGTGGGATTTGCTCAAATAATTTGAGCATCCTGTCTAAAAGTCACAAGAATACCTGTGAGATTTGTTTATGTTTTTAAAGCTATAATTCGGTATCTTTGTCCTTTCTGCAGGCGATCATCCGTGGCGAGCTGGAGGTATTAAAGGACTGGTGCTATGAAGCTGTGAGTTATTAAACACCACTCGGTAACAAAAGCAGTTTCTACAGGTGTTGACATAATACAGGGGACATATGTGAAGAAGAAGAGCTTATTACGTTGTGATGTCTACAAAAAGACACAATCCTACTTTTTAGTAATTGCATTTTAGCTGGCATACAGTATGTGGGAAGCATGTTTTAATGCTAGATGTGTGTTACGTGTATTTGTACTCAGACCTACAGTCAGCTTGCCCACCCCATCCAGCAGGCCCGAGCTCTGGGGCTTCTCTTCCAGTCTAAAGTACTCGACATCGATAACTTAGATGTAAGTGCTCTCCCTGATGCTCGGTAACCATCATGCAGCTTGTATTACAAAGCTCTTTCCCTGTTTTCTGCTTTTCCCTTTCTCCTTTCATTTGTCTGTTCATTTTGTAACCCTGTGTTTCAGCTGGCGATGGGTAAGATGATGGATCAGGGCCCTGTGCTGATCATCACCTTCCAGGCTCAGGTTGTCATGGTGATTCGCAGCCCCAAAGGAGATATTGTGGAAGGAGATCCGGTCAGTCAACTCACGATCACTGTGCTAGAATAGGGAATCCAATGGATACCATCAAAGCTTCCTCAAGGAAGTAAACAACACTAAAAGGCTGAAATCAGATCAGTGGTCTATAACAGAGGCCCATTTTTTTTAATGTCTTTCAAATTTATGGGTTTGATGCAGCAATATTAACTTGTCTGATATCATCGGATTTCAACTGTTAGCAATGTTAGAGGCCTCAAATATATCATCATAAGCCAGATCATTTATTAACTCGCTACATTTAAAGTTTGAAGTCTGCAAAACTCTTTGGAATTCACTGTTTCTTCTCTTCTCCTCCCTCAACAGGAGAAGGTGATGAGGATGATGTATGTGTGGGCGTTGTGTCGGGACCAAGAGGAGCTGAACCCCAGTGCTGCCTGGAGGCTCCTGGACATCTCTGCCTCCAGCACAGAGCAGGTCCTCTAAGAGGAGGAGCAGGAGTACAGTGGCTCATCTGGGGGACACAAACTGAGATACAAACACATACCTGGAATAGCTGCACATCCTTTATACATTAAGTTGAACAAAGAGAGAAGAGGGAAACCCTGCTGCTGTGTGAGAGAGTACCATTTCCCCATTTGTACTCAGAGGATTTATGTGCAAGCGTGCATATTTGACCACCCTCTGACATGTAGATCCAATTAGCTTTGGAGATAGTTTATGACACATTCAGTTAAGTTTGTCTGTGCAGTCTTCTGTACTGGTACGCTCAGTGTTTTGGATTGCCTGGAGTATATATATACTGCATAACTAATTAATTTCAGCGTGGATGGACCTGCATCTTCACCAGGAGCCTGCATTGTTTCGTCTAAGCTGCATAGCTCATCAATACTGGACGGCTGGTGGGCAGATTGTAAATAATCCTGTTATGACAGTGGTGGAAAGTGGACATGCAGTCTGTGATATCTGTTGGTCTTTAGGGGGATGTTTTATACCTAAATTACATTGATTACATTTTTTTTAGGGCCTAATATTAAAATATGAATTCTCAAAATCACCGTGAAAGAACGGATGAGAGCTGCAAGGGCTTTAATGTTCTTCAGTGTCAGTGTTTGAAGGGCTACTGACGACCAGAAAATTTAGACTAAATTTTCAGATCCTTCAGCGCTCACTTTGTTGGTTTCTGCTTTGCTCCTGCTGGTTTTTACATAAGAGTAATGGTGAAATGAAAAAGTAAAACAAGGATAAAAACATACGACGTCCACCCTGTCATGCCGAGACAAGACTACAGTTTACTGGGACTTGAAATCGAGGAGATAAAGCTCCCAGTGGGACTCGTATCTACTTATTAGTGTAAGCTTATATTCAACGTCGTCATGCTTGTGAGCCGAAATGGGACCACCTTACTTTTTCCAGTCATTGAGGCAGCTTTGATGTTTGAGGAATCGTTGCACATTTTTCAGCTGAGCTGTTTGGTTTACATTTACGTGGCTTTGCGAGACATAAATGATGACGATGATTGACACGTATAGATATCGTTGTTCATGTAAGTAAAGATTACACACATTCTGATCGTACTGTAACGTTACAGCTTCATTCAGTTCATAATGAATGTCTTTAAGCTTCATGTTGTACCGCCTCTGTAAAGACGCTCTGAGTTTGTGGATGTGTGTGTTCTTTAAGCACAGCACTTTCCATTAAAGGTCAAACCGCACGAGGCGGTTTATTGCAATGTCCGAAAGTCATGGATGTGTCTGATGGCCACACCGTGCTCGCCTTCTGCTTCTCATGAGTCTTGGTTGTGTAATCCATCACATGGTTGCGATAGTGTTGAAAGAAACATGTGACAGTTGTGTTGGAGTCATTCCTGGTGATTAAAACAACACACTCGCCATAAAACATGCACTTTTATTTATGAGGACGACGGGTGAGAGGACGCGTATTTAAACGTTATTTTTTATTGAGTATGTGTCTTTCTTTCTGAACTGAAGCCATGCTGTTTTGGACTCTGCTGCCACCACCAGTCAAAATGTGATTACAACAAGACACAACTGTTTCTCATGATCCCACATTAAATGCCAAAATGTCCCAGGGGAGAAGTTTCTGTGATTTGGAGAAACTTATTTTTTTGCCTGACAGATAGTGATGTTTGCATCTTGAGTTTGTTCTATGCAAACCTTTAACGGCAGTAATGATCACTCAAGGTTTGAGGCGCCACAGGCAGGACCTCAGTTTCAGTCATGTTGTGTTGCTGTAAAAACTGTCCTTGTACATACTGTTTTTATTGGATCAGAATAAAGAGAAATTCTAATAGTTCAAGTCAGACTAGATTGCTTTACAGCGAATGACAGCAGACCCACGATGTATTCAGATCTCCTTTATTTCTCTCTGTGTGTCAGTCAGCAGAATAAAGAGTGCTGTATTATGATTTGTTTCATCCAGCCTCTCCCCGAGTCAGCACATCTGAATACTGTGTGTTTGTGCTCGAATGAGTAAATTAAAGTCTGCGCATTATGTGTGTCTGCTTTCTCATTTTAAAAACTGACCCGCTTTGATAGATGCCTATTGACACTGGTTGATAAACCTATAGATTTGGTAATACAGGGCTGATAGATTAGCTTCTACCCTGGGGTCAATATATCAGGCTGGCGGGGGCTGATCCCTCAGCTGTCTGTTGTGATGTACGAGTATGGATGTCCTCATATCAACTAACCTCTTTCAGTTCTTTGGAGTCTCCTTGCTTGTCTGACTGCAGCTGAAGCCTACGAGGGAACGAATAACCATACGTGAAACGTCAGAATTATTAATGTATGGTGCCATTATCAGGTTTATTATGTTCCTACAGTTAGGTTTGTACGTTTTTGGACACTGTACACCAGCACAGTGGGTTTTAAACCTACATGTGACTGAAGTGCAAAATAAAAGAAACGTCTTCCATGAACTGTTTAGGATCTGCAGCCATTTTCATACACAGTCCCAAATTTTCAGAGGCTCAAAATTAACTGGACAAACTAACAATCTTAAATATATGGATTTTTCTAATACTTTGACTGGAAAGTATTTAACTTTGACTTTGATTTTCATCCATGATTACCAGAAGTCTGCCTGGATCTGAGGAGCATAGCCTTGTACACGTTGCAGTTCATCCTGCTGCTCCTATCAGCAGTCACATGAAGTGTTTATGTGACTCTGGCGGCCGTACATGCCAACATTCCTTCATTCATGGAGGTATCGTTTAACGATGCTATGCCTACCTTCTTGAGAGAGTTCATGACTTGGCTAAATGTTGTGAAGTTGTTTTTCTTACCCATGGAAATTACATTATCACACACTTTAGTCGTCTCCTGTGAGCTTTCAGGCCTGTTGGTGTTGCAGTTTATTCCATCTTTTTAAGAATGAGCCAGATTGTAGATTTGGCCACTCTTACTCCACTCCTTGCTCTCTCTGAGGTTTATTTTGGCTTCCTTAGCTTGCATCACCTTTGGGCCTCATATTGACAGATCTGGGTCATTTTCTAAGTTGAGCTCTTGGAAAACGACCCAGATCTTTCACCCGTCAGATTCATCAGTAAGAAGGGGAAAGGACACACCTGGTCATGAAACTGCTCGTCCTTATTGCCCTCATACGTTTGAGCCTCTGAAAACAGACTGTGTGAAGTACTTTTGTTGAGCCCCATGAGTTAAAGCTGAAAGTCTACACTTCAGTCACAGCTCGATTGTTTGACTTAAAATCCACGGTGTTGGTCTACAGAGGCAAAATTGGAAAAACTGTGTCATTCTCCAAATACTTGGATTTAACTGTATGACATGCACTTTCTGTCAATGTGGAGCATGAGTGAAGAGTAAAGCCCTCACTATACCGAGAGTATCTTACTGGGGAAATCCCTCCAAGCAACAACACACTTACTGCACCCAAGTGAATGGGATTAAATGCAACAACACAATCACCTCAGAAAGGAAAAGGGTCATGGAGGCAGAGCAGAGCTTTCTTTTAACATCGTCTTGGTGACACACTACCATGCATACATCAAGCTGTAATCTAGTCTACGTTATAACAGCGTTATCATAATGCAGGCAGCCCTTCAGGCATTGCCCTAACAATGGCTAAACAATTTCAGTTTTTTGGTTTAGGTTTATTTTATTGAGGGCGTTTATATGGTTTGATCTCAAACTTTTAAATGAGCGCCAGCATAGAGACAGAGGCAGTGTTTTTAGTGTTAGCATATGGCTTCTTCTTTGCATGATAGAGCTTTAACCTGGATTTGAGGATGGCACGTTGAAGTGTGTTTACAGAGAGTGATTTCTGGACATGTTCCTGAGCCCATGCTGTGATTTTCATAACAGAGTCATGTCTGTTTTTAATGCAGTGCCGTGTGAGGGCCAAAAGATCTTGTTGCGCCGTTCCAACTTAAAAAACAAACAAAACAGAAACGTTACTGACATCAAATTTAAAATGAGCTAATATTTGTAATAAAAAATTGCAATAAAAATATCTTATATTTATATAATGTAAAAAAAAAAAAAGAGTATTCGAACATTTGATATGTTTTCTATGTTTTGTTGTGAACAAATACGGGTTTGTGAGATTTGCATTCTGGTTCGTAGATTTGGAGTTGAATAGATAGGAAGGGCAGCAAAGTATAAACACTGAGTTTCATCATCTTGTGGGTTGGAGACTCTTACCATTTATGACCACAGTGGGTGCACTGCTGGAGCACTGCTCATTGTTATGAGATTATGATCCCCTTCAGGGCAGTGTTACAATCCACCGACTATTAATTAAACCTACTGGGAGATCCCATGCAGCCTCAGGCAGGGGAGATGTGGCTGTGTATGGACTACAGTCTGCAGCAGTGTTTGTAGAGTTTTAATTGTGTCAATTAATTACTTCTCACAGTGAGTTCGGAGCTTATAGCCACAGGCACAATCAGGTAGCCCCGCTTGTTTTGCTCCACTTCTTGATCATGTCATTTTTTGCAGGTCAGCAAAACCTGGAGTGCAACCTGACATCAAATTTAAATGTCGTCTTACACAATATAACAAAGGAATGGGTTTAAAAAAACAGCAGACTCTCATGTATTTAAAAAAAATCTCTGTCAATGCTAATATTTTAATACAGGAAACATATTTTTATTAAAGAAGGACTACCAGTTATCCATGAGGCAAACCCTACTTATAGTCTTATTGTCCAAAACAGACAATGTGTTCATCTGCAGTTTTTGTACATTTGCACAGATCTCTTAACATCACTTAAAAGAAATCTAATCTAGCTTCATAACCCATGTTTTGTTTAATAAGAGCTTTAATCAGAATATTAGACATAAAGAATAGAATAGAAAAGAACAGGCCAGAAGATGAAGCATTTACTGTGATGTTGAGAAATATATCATTAGGTTTGGTCAACTGTTCTGTACAGTGAGCTACATAAAAACAGAAACGGGGAGACACGCACACTCACACAATGAGGGCATAATAGCACTTAAATCGAAGATATACCCCAAGGAATAGCTGTTGCACTTAAAATGACTTGTTTTTTCCTGATTTACAGGAGTTGAGCCTCCTGACATCCCAGTGGAAGAAAACTAAAAGTTTCTCTGAGGTTGCTAAAACACCAAAATCCCCACAAAATCCACAGAAGGTATGTGGTCAGTGGTGGGTCTATGATTGTCTTTACTCGTCTTATTCCCCGCAGGATAATATTCAATAAAATGTCATCGTGTTTGTTGGTGGTTCAGCCAGACGCACTTGTCTCAGGTGCATTTTTAGTTGTTAAAAAAAAGGAAACAAAGAAATGTAAATCTATGAAAGTGAAATATTTGCTGTCAGCTGTCTAACACAAGTCTTCTCTGTGCAGCTGCTTTTATTTGCATGGCATGGAGCATTAAGGTAATTTGATCATTTAAATTTCAAGGAAAACAACAACAGAACAGGCGTTTGTTCCATAATGGCTGTGTGGCTATCAGGATCCCTGACTGTCCCCACGTCATGCACTCCTCTTATATAATTCAAAAGCCACATGTTGTGATTTACTCATCCAAACGAAAACAGTGTGTGTGTGTGTGTGTGTGTGTGCATGGCACAAGGGCAGTCGTTGGTGGGCGGAGAGGGAGGGAGGTGGGGCGGATCCGTGAAACTGAAGAGACCTTAAAGCCCTCAGAGGAAGCAGAGTTCAGTCTTGAATCTGTGTGTGCAGCGTGAGTGAGCACAGAGCTGTCCAAGGTGCTGAAGGGCTACTGCTGCATCATCATCATCATCATCATCATTATTATTACACAGTCCTCACCTCAAGGTAAGTTCTAATCTCTTCTGATCGTCCTCCAGTTTGTGTTTCATGACAATGGTGACTGTGCTTGCTTCGTTAAACTTTTGTTTGTAGGAGTTATTGTGGTCCTGCATGTCTAACTTTTTAAATGGCAGCGTCTGCGAGCTGTCAGAAACAGTAGCAGGTGTGATTTGTGAGTTCTTGTGTAACTTTATGACACCCTTTAAAACATGTTCAATCCTCTCTGTGCTACTTCTATCAATAATGTTTTAAAGGAACTATTAAGAGCGGGGCACCTTAACATCTCACATGTGATACAAAGATACAAACCATAATCCAGGCGATTTTCATCTTGTGATATATTCTACAAAAACATATATAAAAATATATTTATGAAGGTAGTTAATTCTTTCACTTCTCAACAAGCCTGGAAGATTAGAGCTTTTTAAACCACTGCAATGTTCATCTTACGTCTTTGATTTTGAAAATCTGTGAAGTGTTTAAAAGTTACAGCGTGTTTTAAAAGAAGTTACAATCAAAAAATCCTTCACTGAAATTCAGTTAAAAACTTCTAATTTCACTCTGTTTTAAATTTTTAAATTCATTTAAATAATTTGTGTTTTAATATCCATTAAAAATTGTTACCTTTTAATGGAGAACAAAAAAATAATTGCATAAGAGGCCGAAGATGTTTTAGGGCTTTAATCATCTTGATGACACCAAACACAAGTTTAACAGCAACGTGCTCATTGTTGGGTGGAGATTGCTTCCCCTTTTCACAGTCTGACAGTCCAACTTTAAGGATTTACTTTAGTTTTCAGACAATATCCGTTTCATTTGTAGAAGTCCTTGACATTTTCAAAGCTGCTGTCATAATCCAGAGCCCTAAATTGGAGGTATTACAGGTATTAAAGGCACGAGGAATGCCATATGTCACTCAGTGTGTCGTCAGATTTCACTGGCACAGCTGCTTAGTGCTTTCATCAATCTCTTTTTTTTTTTTTGCTTTATTGCTTAAAAAAAAAAAAAGAAAGCTTCAGATTTTATTACAAATCTGGAGCCCTGAACTGTCCACACCAGGCTTTCATTTTGCTGTTTTGCGTAAATCAGATGGTCAGGCAATAAAGTGTGATTTATGTGCTGTTTAGGAACCAAAGCAGGTCTCGTTATGAAGATCAGTGATCCATGAAATTGATGTGGCTTATTCTTTTATATTCTTTAAAGCTTTTGTGTTTGCTTTGATTCTCAGGGAAAATGAATTTTCACCTGTGCTCTTGGATCTGTTGCTGTTTGTTTGTCATTATGACCTTGGCTAATCTGCAGAGCTGTGGAATGACCTAAAAACATAAAACATGACTTCTCTGGTCACCTCTTTGAAACCCCAGACCTGCAACAGACCCACATATATGATAATCAGTGCTTTGTCTCATGCCTTGATTTAAATAAAGGTGGGGAAAGGATGCAAAGTGCTGAGTGATTCCTACCTCATGCATTTAGGAAACTGGTAAAGCTGCGCTCCAGAGAGCCATAACTTTGGTTGTGTTGCATAACTACTGGTTAAAGTGTATTTTGTCAGGGCAACTGCTCAAAAGGATTTAAGAGAAAGCAAATCTTTAACTTTTAAATCCAGTTAATCTTCTTTTGTGTTTACAGCCAGCTGCTAAAAATCAATCGAATCCTTAAAAAAATGGAAACGGTGAGAAACTGCTATCCCTGTTTTCATTATCAGCCTTTTTTCAAAGTGATTTCTGTCCTGCCGTGTAAACGTTATGTCCGCTCTATTGACTGCCGAGCCCGTCCTGCCTATTTAGCCTCTTTTCTTCTTCTTCTACACATGGCTATTCCGTGCTGTCCAGACCTGATGCAACCACAGGCCATTTGATAATTGATACTGAGGCAGGCACTTTCTTTCATTGTGTCCAAAGGTCCCCTATTAAACCTTCACTATGCCCTTAAGTCCCATCATTGGGTGAGCAAGAGTGCTATCAGCGTGTCTTTGTGAGGATCTGCGGGGTCTTAAAGAGGAAGAGGAAACCTCCTGGAATAGAATCTGCTGATGGGGGAATTCACCTATCGCAGGAAAATGTCTCTCCATTAAAGAAGCTGTGCAGGGTGTATCCATGCAAGAGTGCAGCAACTCCCTAAGGGTTTTCTCCATATTTCTTTTTCTTTCCCCTCATCAGTGCCTGATTTATTTATCTTCTACTAAGCTATATCTGAATTCAGGAGAGATTGTTTTTCTCACACAATTTATTTTTGTGCTTGCAGGAAAACCCCCAAAATATTCACTTGGTGCCCAGAAACAAACAAATAAAATTTAACCCTGGTTGAATCCTGAATCAGTGGGTTTTCTCTACATCCAGGAAGTGCATACTGGAAATTTACTGAGGTTTTTTTGCTTCTTTTTTCCTTTTAGGTATCCTGATGACTGAAACCCCAAACGAAAAAGCTCCTCGTGACTCCGGATGAAGAAATAGACACAAAAATACAAGCTTTGCTCAGTAACCAGGCCGACACAGTCAAAACAATTTGAATGCAAAATAATTCTGTGAAGCAGCACGACACACATCATTTCCAGCCGGCAGGCACTTTGATTGATCCATGGGACATCTTCAGTCACTCAGCTGAGATTTATACTCACTTTGTAATTACAATAAAGGCTTCCAGAGAGCTGCTATTGGATGACAGTTAAAATATTGACCAATAACGGAGGATTACACAGAATAAATAAATCAGGGACCTCTACTTTTGTTTTGTTTAGATCTCTTGAGAACAAATGAGTGCTATATAGGGATCATGCCAACACCAGCCAGTTCAGTCTAATTTGCCATGCTGAGCATGCCCCAGCTTGCCACACCATTTACCAGAGGACTGATTAATTTGCACTGCTAATTTGTGCTGTGTTATTTCTGTTGCCCTGCGGCTTGTGGAAAACACTGCATTTGAGCTCAGTCAGCTATTAGCTGCCAGATTTCACTTCGTGAGCTTCCTCCATGTTTAGAAACCACGAACATTAACAAAGACGACCATGTGGAGCAGTGCCACTCCTCAGAGCTTCTGACTGCAAAGAAACAGTCATTTAGTTAAGCGATTTCAATCTCCAAAAACATTCCCTCACTTCCAAGATGAGCAACACAAACTACTGGCTCATGGACTATGATGTTTCTTCTCCAGCTCCGCCTGGGTATCCCCGGGGCCCCACCGTGCTGCAGCCCGTGCCGGGTCACCCAGAACAAGGATCAGCCCTGTGTTTTGTTGGCCTCCTCGTGCTGCTGCTGCTCTTCCTCGTGGTTCGTTGTGTCCGCATCATTTTAGATCCTTACAGCAGCATGCCATCGTCATCGTGGACGGACCACAAGGAAGGTCTCGACAGAGCACAGTTTGATTACGCCATTGTGTAACAGCGGAAGCGGCTAGGGATGAGAGAAATATCCAGTGAAAAGCTCGGTTCCTGGTGTAAAAGGAAGCTCTCAGTCCTTATTGCATAACAATATGAAAGCACTGAACAGAAACTGTATGAGGGCAAAATGCAGCACAGCAGAGAGAACAAACAGAAACACCAGAAGCCCAGTTTCCATTTTACTTTACAGACATTAAGTGTGTGTGTGTGTTATGTACAGTGCTTTCAGTGACAGACGCTGCAGGAAGAGAAGGATCCATATCTCCGCATTTCTTCATGACTCGTGCTCATCATGTCATTTTATAATTCTATAATGTTTTTTTTTTCTTTTACAAATTCCAGAAAGCAGATCTCCGCAGGAGATGTCCTGATCAAATAAGAGAGAAACTAAATGAGTTTAGGATAGACATGGAAATCATTTAGACACAACTGCACTCACTTGCAAGAGCTTTAGAAAAAAGGAGCATATGCTTTCTATGATTATTAGGTAAAAGGCTGGATTAGTTTAATTGAAAAGATCAGGAAAGAAGGTCTGAGTTTGCTTGAAACTGTAAACTTGATTTTTTTCTAAATCAGCTTTGACTCGTGCTGGATATTTGGTGGCTTTTGTGCCACCACTCTGATGACCCTCAGGTAAAGTTCTTGACCAATTAACCAAAGCACCTGTTTTTAAAGATGTAATTTAGATTTCCTTCTGAAATTGAGCTTTAGCTTCTATTTATATCTTTTTCTTTTCAAATTCACTTTGTCCTAAATTCAATGTCTATAAAAGCTACATTTATAATGAATAAACATCACAAAATTTTCTTCGGGGTTTTGCTGTTTCACGTCACCATCCCTTTAAAAGGCTTATGAGGCTCACAGCTCTGATTGAATGTGTGTCATATAAAGTTCTGATTATGAAATGCAAGTGCACCAATGTCCTCCCGCTAATCCTTTTTGCCTTTAGGCCCCATCCAGTGAAACACCAGCCAAATCTGTTCAACAGTACCTGTAAAAATAGATCTATTTCATACTAATACTGCTCCTTTGGCCTCTTGTTTTATATTGTTTCTGTCCGTGTTATACTGTAAAGCCCTTTGAAACGTGGCTCTGAAAGACTTTATAAATAATGGCTAGTATTGATATTTCACTGATTTTTCTGTTTCCATAATGATTAAAGACTGAAATATCAAACTGCTGTTTGTAATCAAACTTACTGGACGTGCACACTCGCTTGTTAAAAAAAGAAGAAGAATGAATGAAAGTGGAATTCATTTTTTAAAGTGAAATAAAAGCTTTCGTCTTGCCCTGCTTTTAGAAACACTAATTCATTTACAGATCTGCAAACTGCACTTAACTACATGCACACAAATCCATGTCAGCTACTAACTCACATGAACCTTTCCTGTGCAAAGGCCGTCCTTGTTGCTGTGCTAAAATCGATAGCAGGAAGATTTAGTGCGAGAGACATCAATCGAATAATCAGTTAGGGGCTTGCAAAGAGATACACAGAGTAGGGTGGAACCTAATTGTACCAGATGAACCTCCAAATGAAATGTTTTTGCAGTGGCGTTCTTTCTAAGTTTCTAAACAAACCACTTTTTAGCTGCTTGCACAGTAACGTAGCTCTGACATGTATGACAGGAGATGTAGTTCAGTTTAAAACTCTTACTTTGAAATGATCAAAATGACATCATCACTCCGTAGAAACACTGTATGCTCACATGTCTAATACAGCTCTCCATCCTGCTAACATAATTAACAACCAGTCAAATACACATGCACATATCTTTATATGTCATGTTCTTCTTATGCAACAGCTAGAAACTGATCATGTAATGTGTATAAAATTTAAAATAAACTGCCTTCTTGTATTGTGGCTATAACAAAGAGTTTTAGGACATTCAGTGTGTGATTCGGTTACAGGGAGACGGCTGGACTTGTGATGAAAATTAATAGTATTCCTTCCCATGGATTAAAAAGACTCCATTTCAGTTGAGGTGGAATCATTTTTAAAATTACTTCCCGAAGGCAATGCCATTAATTTCCCAGAGGTTTCCTTTTACTTCCAACTTTCCCCTTCCTGTCAGATTTTCTGCTTCAGTTTCTGACCTCTCCTGGTTACTTGGAGAACAACAATCTATGTTCAAACAGCTTTGCAGCACCAAGGAAGCACACACACACACACACACACACACACACACACACACACACACACACACACACACACACACACACACACACACACACATTTTAGATAAAATGGAAAATAAGAAACGTGTAACTTTCAGAAACACCACATGGTCATCTACAATCCTTTATTCAGAAGGATAAATTATAGACTCTCTCTGTGGACTTCATTTTGCCCGTGCTCTCTTCAAAGAATATAGAAAATCTGTATAGTACTGTATAGATAAAAAGCAGCACTGATCTAGGGTTTGTCTGCCTCTGGTCCACCACTTTGAGTGAGCATTAGATGAACTGCTGACAACCAGGGTGTCTAGAGGATTAATCCTAATGACTACTGTGATCCCCAGGGAGGCACAGTGGAGTGCTGGTTAGCACTGTTGCATCACGGCGACAAGGTCCTGGGTTTGAAACTATAGGATAGCTGGGGCCTTTTGCTGTGGAGTTTGTATGTCCTCTCTGGGCACTCTGGCTTCCTCCCAGCATGTTAGGTTAACTGGTGACCTGTCAAGGGTCTACCTTGCCTCTTGTTCTATGACAGTTCAATTCATCGGCATCCATCACCTCAGAGCACTTTATATTGTAAGGTGAAGAACCTACAATACAACAATGGGAACTGCTGGAGTCGTCATAAAATTTGGTCCCGTGTCTTTTGGAGAGTGAAAAAGTTGGAAACATTGGAAACATATTAAAATAAGATGCTACTGCATATATGATCTCGTCCAGTGCTTTTAGCTTTTAGTTCAAAGTACCACTGAGCCAAATCCAGAGAACAGAGCTGAGATGTACAGCTGGAATCTCCCTGAACTGAACTGCTCACAGCAATTTATTAGTCAATATAGCTGCCTTAATTACTCAGTGGGGAACTTGTTAGAGATTTAGCACAAAGAGTGCAGTCAGACTTCTCTAACCTGACCAAAACAGTCCAGTGCAGTCCAAGAGATGGCTGGAAACACTGTATAACAACCCCGACCTCATTAGTGTCGAACTGAGCTCGACAGATTTTGCTTCACTGAGTTCTGACAATTTACTTCCTTGCCAACACAAAAAAGGCATTCAGTTCCCTTCACCCTCCCGCAGACTGTCCTCAGAAAAACACATGTGCACATGCACACAAACATGCAAATACGTCTGGATCACACACACAAAACATTGCCTCAAATCTGGCTCAGGTGATATGACTGACTCTCATTTTAATATATTTCACGTCTGACCTTTTAACAGCTGTCCTTTTTTCCAGCTCAAGAACATACCAACTAAATGCAGATCAGATCAAACCTTCCTGAATATGCAAACATGAAATACACAGAAAAACACACCTGCGCGTACCAGGATTCCCACTGATTTACATTCATTTCTTTGTTTGACAGTTGACACCTAAAGCTTAACTTTTAAATATTTACATAATGGAAATATTTGAACTCTTAAAAAGGGGGAATTAAGTCTTTGGAGTGCAGCTCCACAAAGAGATATTATTAATATTGCATTAACACGAGTAACACAAGTACACCGGTGTTATACATACACTCATACACTTCAGTGAAGGACAGCCCACACCCAGCCACATGCAAATGATAGTAATTTGTCTGCTGCATAATGTACACAAACTCTCCCCTTACTGCCCGAACACAAGTTATTTAAACACCTTTTACCTGTATGTGACTGAATATTGCACCTATATGCCTGAGGCGTGACACACACAATTCTAGTGTGTCATGCACAAGCTTATTGCCAAACAGCTCCCCAGCTGAGCTGTTTGGCAATAAAGATCTGCACATTTGCATAACAGTGCTGATGTTATCTGCTAATCTTGGGACATGAGGAGTGTTGTCTGCAGTGCTTGAATGTGGAGGAGGACAGTGTGAGGAGGACCACAGTGTGGCTTTGGAAGAAGTGAACCATTTAAAGTTGTCCTGAGTTTTCTTAAGGGTAAAAGTTCAAAAGGTTTGCCTGCCAGCCTGTGCAGAGAGGTGTGCTTACCTTCGAAGCTCGTTGCAATGGGTTTCTGGAGCTGCTTTCCCAGAGAGAGCTGGTGACCTGGGAGAAGTCTGCCATGAGAATAATCTACTAAGGAGTAGAGGGAAATGTAATCAGGCATGTTTCCCATCCATGATATTCAATCAAGGATTTAATCAAACAGTTTTTACAGTAAAACAAAGTGTAATGAAATGGAATAGATCACAGCTTTTGTGCCATGGTTGCCCCAGTTTGTGTTATTCATATAATGGTTATATAGTGGAACATCATGACAGGTTAACAACTATAAGGCCTGATATGTTAAAGACCATGCACACTGAAAATAGGCCTATCCCTGCTTTCCCAGCTATTAACCACTTATCCTTCTGCTTAAATTGTAGCAAGCAATCAGCAATAGCCTGCCCACCCACTATAACTTAAAAGGTAACCACAGAGCCCACTTCACACTGTGAATCATTCCCCCTGAGCCGGAGACACCCCTGGTGCGTCAGTCCCCCCACAGCTATCAATCATTCAGACAGACAGCGCAGACCGGAAGTCTTCACAATAAAGGTTCACTGCTACATTTTTGAACCTACCACGACCTGACTGTATTTGGCTGTATACAGGTCAAAAAGCATGAGGTGTTAATAAAATATGCTTACATTAATTAAAAATGATATTTAAAATAAATAAATAAATAAATAAATAAATAAATAACAATAATAAATTTTATTTGAAAGCGTCTTTCAAAACACTCAAGACACTGTAGACAGCAGAATAATAAAAGCGACATAAAAGCAAACAGTTTACACAATCATAAAAGCATAAGACATAAAACAAATTGAAAATAGTAGAGTGAAGAGGTTATGTGCGATAAGCTATTTTGAACAAGTAAGTTTTCAGTTTGGACTTAAAGAGAGAGAAGTGATATTTCTTTATTTACTCTATATTTATACAAATTTATCGGGGGGACACTAAAACTAAGTAAATAAACTACTAAAAGCTACAACATACTCTTCCGAGGGCTTTTACTTTTGAAGGTTGTCCCACAGCTTCCTTTCCCGCTTCATTTTTTTTTAAACCCCGTCTGACTTAACAACCGTTGCAGATCGATGATGACCGAGCGGCTCGGATCTGCTGTCGTCTTCAGGACACAGGAGCACCACGGCGCATCGTCAGCCACCCAGGGCTCAGCCTGAAATCTCGGTTTAAGCTGGATTTTCTTTCAGATTCCTGCCTCATTAATTCGGTTTGTAATTCACACGGAGGTCCTGGTCGGTAGGTTTCTGCTCTGGATCCCGTTTCTTTCGGCGGTCTCATTGCAGCTTACTGCGTTTATCCATGGAAACAACCAACTGAAGTGCAGTCGGCTATTTCTCCGCACTTTGTTTAAAAGAGATCGTTATTCACCTGACCCGTGCTTTATGGTTGTTAGGATGATTAATTCTGATCTTGTAGGACAGGAATTTTCTTATTGTGGGACATTTTTATTTATTTAAGAGTTATTATTATTGTTGATTTTTGATAACATATTGTAGTTGAGGTGACAGATGTAGGATCATAGGATGCTTAGGATGCACCAACATAGTGCTCTTCTTGTTGTAGCTGCTGTCTCTCTCACGTGACACCTCACCTGCTGTTATACCTGGATGAATTCATATTTGTTTGCGCTCAAACTTAACTGTGTGGAAACCTCTAATGTGTACTGTACATATTATAATTGGTTTGTGCATTTGTGTCTATGTGTGTGTGTTGTATATTGTATATTATTTGCCCTTCAGATTAGATGCCAAACTTAATTTCACAGTTTGAGTTATATACCTTTAAATGACAGTAAATCTAATCTATTCTTATTTTGTTCTGTCCACCATGTTCTCTTATTCTTCTTCACCTGTGCATCAGAAAAAAAATGGAGATGCTGCCTGATTTATGGAAGGAGGACTACTGGCTTCCTCCTGGTGTGACCTGGAGAGACATGGAACAAATGGGGGACTCCAACCGCCCCAGACCCCTGGACCTTCTCATCGCTCTGCCCCTCGCCCTGGGCTTCGT